ATTTGGGAAAATGGTACTCGGTACTTGTATACATCGCTCGGTAGTAGTACAGGTGGTTGGGATGCGATGGATTGCAGGGAAGAGGCAGACCGCGATCAGCCAACATGTGGTGTCTACATACCAAGTACATTATGAACAAACCTAGTACATACCCTAGGGAATTCCATACATTCACAGCCTTGACACACCAGGAGGATTGGACGGATTGACGAACACGATAGAACTTGTTTCTGCAGCTCGATGACCTCAACACTCTTTGCGGCTCATGATGTATAGCTACGTACACGTCTCAGCAGTTCAGGGTTGGTCCCGCAGACCATCAAGGCTGATCAGACCAGAGTCGAGTTAACAGCATTGATCTTGCCACCAAAATTAGTTCGAGTCGATAAATTGGCCCGGTCTTGACGATCTTCAAAGCCTCGATCGTCTCGAGTGTGATTGGGCATAGCCAAATCCCCAAATGCACCGAGTACATGAACTCGGTCGAGACACTGGTGTCAAGCAGTAACTAGCAGCAAGCCGACCGTCTATCACTTTCGTCACAGCGCTACGTAGCAGAAGGTTCAATGCCCCGTCTGATGACGGTTGTCTCGCCACCATGTACTCGTGTGTCCTTGCCCATATTAACCTCACCAAGTACAATCGAGTTCCGCATCGATCATCCTGCGGCTGCACCAGCACCAGCACCAGCACCAGCCTGAGGTCCAAGGAGCGTCCCGAGCAGGAGGACCCGTAACTCGTGAGGATTTTGGGCCGAAGTCAGGCTGCGGATCCGTGGTATGACCGTGAGGAGGGGACTGCACTTAACCTCGTAATATTTGCGAAGGGGTGTTCGCAAGGTCCCCCGCGCTAAGAAGGAACGAAATCTGCCCAGTTTGGCCAGGAAGTGGTGGAGAGACAGCTTCTCGCGGTCGACCCGGGATCGAGTGAGGAGCATTCGGGGAAACGTCTCGAACAACGATGGCCATGGATTCGGGGTACCCTCATTCGTCTGCAAGGCAAATAGCGCTTCCATCTCTGACTGCTTGCCATGTGCTTGAATCTGCATGCAAAGTCGTTGCCGAGAAACGGAGAAGGGCCGGGAAGGCAAAAAGTCGGGAGCTCGACGAGGTGAGGGAGTCAGTCGGAATTGGGGGGTGGTTGGAAGCACATGCTTTGGACATGCCACGGGTGCTTACGCGCGGGACCCTTTTTTCAAGGAAGTTACCATCGACCATTGGGATAGACTCCACTCTTTGGATGGTGGATGGTTCGAATACCTCGTGAGATCTGGGCCTTCGGTCCGAGCTAGGAGAGAAGAATTGACTGGCAAAAAAAGAGATGAAGGAAATAACATCACAAACAAGGGCAGTATACCGAGAACTCGGTCCTGTCCTTTGCTACCCAGTACTGAGCCCTATACAGGAGATATGTACCGAGTACATACAGGGACTGCACATGTGCCACTGGAGCTAGAGGGTGGGATTCCAGCCTGTCCCAAGGCTGTGAATGGTCAGGCTAAAGGTTCAGGATTGCGAGTGGCCAATGCTTGTTGCGGGTTACGAGGTGCTGGGCAATCCTCTTAGCTCCGTCCTGTCCGGCCTCTTCTCCTCTCTTTTGACTTTGGAGCCACAGCCACGAGCTTTTTTCGTTCAGCAATTTAGCCTGTCACGGACGAAGTACCTACCTACCCAGTCGTCAGCATCCATCACCCCCAGTACTTCCAAGCACCACCTGGCAAATCGACCATGCCATCAGGCTCCTCGCATGGATCCCTTGCACTCCACCGGACACCTGAAACCGGCGTACCGTTACCTACTCAATCTAGTGTGGCGGGACAAGCCTCTACAAAATACATTGGGATGCTCGAGAGACAGAGATCTTCAGCAAGAGCCACAAATTATACAAACGGCTATGGAGTATTGGGGTACAAGGTGCGCCGTGGCAAAATATATGGGGGGCGAGGTACCCCGGCGCATTGTCGCAAGAAGCAATTCCCGCACCCCTCTCGTGCCTCGTCCCAATTGATTGATCACGTCGCAGCATTTGCTGCTGCTCGCATGAGCAAAACAACGCCGCCTCGCTTCGAGTCTCGCGAGAGACCACACAGCCGGAGCCCAGCTGAAAATATTTTCCAGAAAAATTTCCTCTGGGGGTTCTTTTGGGGGATTTCCTTTCCTTTTTGTTTCTGCAGCCATCATCAGTCCAGAGGTCATGCCCCAGACAAGCATTTCTGAAGCACAATGCGAAGCCCGTATCCGGAATACATGCAGCACAATACGAGGGGACTAGAATCGGGTGCTCTTGCCGTCAAGCCTACCTACAGAGAGGTACTTTGGGACTCCTAGGTGTCGTCGAGTCACTAGTGGAGCCCAGTGGAAACATTGGAGGGGGGTTTGGTGACCCTGCAGGGTTGTGAATTGGCACAGCTTGGTGGATTGCTTCTGGACCTCCCTTCATCTTCCTCAGCTTGTAGTTCATGCACAAAATCATTTTTCCCACAACCTCATGCCCCAGCTCCAGAAGCCACCGCCCAATTTACACATGGTTCGAGAAGCTCATTCTAGTAGTTTGATGCATTTGTTGCCAATGGTACCTACTTACTCGTAGCATTTCCACTTCCACTTTGCCTCCAGCTTTTTCAAATAACAACTGCCCTTAACTCCTCGTGCCGACTTGGGTTCCGTGCCTTTTCCGAGAGGCAATGCCACCTCGGCCCTGTACCTACGTTGTAACAGGTAAGCCCCGAGAGTGAATGCAGTGTTTTGCTCGCATCTTAGTGAGCAGCCATTAGTAGAGATGCGTCGCGTGGTGATTATTTCATTATTTGTTTGTATTACTATTCGAATGCCATAGCCGATGACTACAGCGAGGTACAGAGGAAGGGACGAGGGTGAATTGCCATGATTCTACACCCAACAGCAATGATAGGCTCTACCTGCGCCGGCATTGAAGCACGGCCGCCTCCCCCCTTGAGTAGTGAGTGACCTCTGCCTGCGCTTCCCACTTGTTCATGACCACCCACGCTATCACAAGCGCCAGGCCAGGATAGGCCTTCTGGGCGGGCTTTAAGTGGCCGCAAAAAACCCGCTGATGTCGACCCTGACTCCCTGGACGTGGCGCTCCTCGGTCCCCTGGTGTGCATGATGCTTGAAATCCCAAAAGCTCATGGTGGGTCGGCGGGCTTACCAAGTTGGCGAACCGCTATTGCGCAGCAGGGCGAGCCCAAGCCAGCTGCAAGCAGCAAGAGCTAAGCCTAAGCCAGGCCCCGCCGAACGTTTAACTGCTTCTAGGTATCGACGTGGTGGGTGCTGAGGGCCAGCCAAGGGGAACTCCCATTCCTCCCTTGTATTGCCGCACGCACAGGCGCATGCAGAAAGCGTACCTCGATGCAGTCGCCAGATGCAGATGCAGATGCAAGAAGGCAGCCGGCCCAGCTCCAACGAGAGTTGACCAGGGCCACCTTGGGCCTACGAGTATTTGTACTTGTACCTGTAGGCAACTTCAAAGGTAAGGCCTAGGGCCTGGATACTATTAGGTACCTCCATACGTATCCTCGTAATGGGTAGGCGTGGTTGGCAAGGCAAGGCAGGCAAGGCAGGACCTTGAGACAGCGGCATATGGTATTTCCACCACCCTTGGACCTCCTTGTACCGAGTACATACGGTACCTTCCTCTTCGTAGGGTATTACGTATTGTACAGCTCTTCTACGATACCCTTTCGATCCTTCTTACAAGTCGCTGATGTCGTTCATGTCGTTCATGAGAGATCATCACAATTTACCACAGGGATTGCTCGGGCGGACTGAGTCAGTCCAATCGAGGTTAAAGTGCCCGTTGCAAATCATTAACTGTCAGAGAGAAGCCATGAATCGGTCCATGTCCCACTTCTCGAAAAAGCCTCCCACTCTCCCACCCACCGAACTCGCTGCTCTTGTCCCGTTTCTGGTCTTCGCCTATGTCTGGGTCAGGCATGGACCGGCGCTATGCCGATGTGTCCCCCCTCCCCTCTCCCCTGCCCACGAGATCCCCAATTACTTTTTGCGAAGAGGTGGTTTGAGGGGGGTTCCCGCCAGTGGCATAGCTGCATGTGAGATGAGGTCTCGATGGAGGAGAAAGATAGGGATGATGAGATGAGAAGATACCTCAAAATACAAAGATGGCGAGATGGCAAGATCACGAGTGACTTGTCCCGGAGCAATGGGTCATGGTCATGCATTATGGGCTCGTTGCTGATCGGCTTCCCTTGGAAACCCTCATCTCGTGCTTGTAACTCTAAAAAGCTATTGTCCACTCTCGCTCCCAGCGACTGGGAAAAGCGCAGCCCATTGCCAGCAAACTCAAAGCCATCCAAAAAAACCCTCTGGTGGCCTCTAGGGCCGTTTCTTGCATCCCCCATCCCGCTCACCCACTCCTTCCCAATACCCTCCTTCCGACTCGTCGCCAATCCCGAGGCCTCGATCCATGGTATCATGTCCCTACCGGTACCTCTCTTTATTGCCCCTCCAGCCGACTCCATTCGCTCCATTTGACTCCATCGCCCTAGACTAGGCGGGCGCGCCAGAAGGGACCATCATCTCTGATCCCTGGCACCAACTTTACGCACATACCCTGGTCCACCGGGTTGCGCCTTGACCATCTCCCCAGCACCAACCAACCCATGCCTCCTCCGTCCCCATAGGTTGCGTGCCTCTCTGACCTTGCACCTCCCACTTCCACTTCCTGCAGGCCAGAGCGACGAAAAGGTGCCCTCTCACGCTCTCTTCTTTTGCCGACCTTTTCCTTTTGCCTCGTAGGTGTGTGGTGATGACACTTGCAAGTCTCTTTTGCAGCCAATTTATTTTTTTTTATTGCTCGTCTGCAAGAACCACTCACACCTTTCCCCCAAATACATCATATCCTGGCTTCAACGCTGCCAATGCTGCCAGAAGTCCAAAAACATACGAGCACACCGTCCTGTTCGCTATCCCATCCCTAGTCCACCTTGCTGCACGCGACTCTCGCTCCAATCCGCCCCGGTAATGTCGAGTGCGGATGATGGTGAACGTGGGGGCACTGCAGCTGCACCCTCGCGCGCAACCTCCGCCGTCCACTCACCTGCCGACCACTCCCATCATTCTTCGGCCTCTACATCACAGCCCTCTTCCACTCTTGACGATACAGACTTCTCGACCTGGTCAAGCAGCTTGGGATCTCATACCGTAAATACCTTTTCCACCAGCCAGTCGCCCGCCTATTTGTTCTCGACCGACACCTCCATCAACACCGGTGCCCATACCTCCCAAGCTACCAAAGCCGCAGATTCCAGCCTCAGTCCCAACCTGGATCTCTCCACCCCAGACGTCCTTGCTCGCAATGAGTCGCTGTTACGGGACGCCGTCTTCCCAGAGTGGAAGGACGATACCCCTTCCTCCGTCCTCGACAGTCCAGAAGAGATGCAGAAGAAGGACCCTCTAGGCACTCAGATATGGAAATTGTATAGTCGGACCAAGTCTCGCCTCCCAAACCAGGAGCGCATGGAAAACTTGACTTGGCGGATGATGGCTATGAATCTACGCCGGCGAGAGCAACAGCAGGCAGCGTACGGGAAATCGACCCCGGTGGGCAGCGACCGTCCAAGCGCTGTGACTGACCATCTTTCTAGAGCAAAACAAGCACAGTTCAAAAGTCCTACTCCTCCTTCCTCCGGTCCTAGCGGCATAGCACAGCAGCTCCGCAAGTCCGTGGACAAGTCTGCTGAATTCGAGCAAACCACAGATCCTATGAACCTCGACGACTTTATAGTGCCGAGCTCGGTCGCCTCTCCAGCAGGGATAACGTCTCCTGCTCCGTCAGAGACGGTCGGCCGATCAATGATGGCACAGGCCCCTCCTATTCCCATTGCTTCCCGTAACAAACCCCAAGTCCAGATTCCCAAGAATCTACCCCCGTCGTCAATGCCTCAGACCTCTATCCCAACACACCGGACATCAGAATTTGAGTACGTAAAGAAGAGAGTCCGCAAGACGAGCATTGACGAGAGGAGGGGTGTAAGTGTAATTCTCACAACAAGACCCGTCTGGCAAAGCTGTTCTCTGACCCTTTTCTCCAGAATCGCAAGCGTCCGGCAGAGTTCTCTCCTCAAGTACCTCCTCTACCTGCACCTCATGCTACCAACGGTACCGAAATGGACACTGGTGTACCTGATTACGCGCTTGATCAATCATCAGCAGCCCAATTCCCGGGCCAACCTAGCTTTCCCGGGTCAATGTCTCTTCACCTAGATTCTTTCCACCTGAGCGACGACCCAATTCTAACATCTGCTGGGCCATTCCAACAAAACTTTGCGTTTTCCCCCGCCGCCTCGCCCATGGTCACCAACGGGCCGTTCTCGAATGTGTATACGCAATCATCAATGGCTTCGTCCTTAAACTCGGCGGACTTTTATTCCCCGCCTCAATCCGGCTATGCTTCTGCTGTTTCAACGCCCCAGCCAGGCCACGAAGTAGATGGTCAGGGATTTTACTTTGACCATAGTGGCCACACACGGACCATGCCCTTTTATCCATCTCACCGAGGGAACCATTTGATGACCCCCTCGGCACCGCAGTTTGCGTATGGATCCAACAATGAACAAGTGTATTCCCTAATGAACGGGGTAGCTTCGACACAGACGGCAACTGGGTTTTCGATGCAGCAACACGTTGATCCTTCTCGGGTGCTGGTGCCGGAATATGGACGACGAGTCTCTCCAGGAATTTCTGTGGCCGGAAATGACAACTTGTTCCAGTTCGGCGCCGATTCTGATGCGGAAGATGAGGACGCCAATTTCGCAATGATCCAATCTGAATATGGCCAGATCAGCGACCCAACATTGGACCTAAGCTCGGGTTTGCAATGGGATCCCAATGTTGCCGATTACAGTAGCATGCAGCGATTCGGCAGCGCTCCGGGGAAACAGGTGAGAATTGGAGGAGCGGAAATGGTCAATTCCCCTCCGGATTGGGGTTCGTCGATGCTCAGTCGCACACATGGTTCAGCTGCCTCAATCAGCGACATTCGGAATCGCGACCAAGACCCCAGGAGACAGAAGATTCCTCGAACAACTTCGACTCCAGCTCTATCCAACCAGCATATGCAGTCTACTGGTAGTTCGCCCGGCGAGTCTGGCTTTAGCAGTCGACAACCGTCGAGACCTGGCAGCCCTGGACCTAAGAACACGGATCAAAATGGTGTTCCAACGACCTGCACCAACTGTTTTACCCAGACTACACCTCTCTGGCGTCGAAACCCAGAAGGTCACCCGCTGTGCAATGCGTGTGGATTGTTTCTCAAACTGCATGGTGTTGTGCGCCCTTTGTCGCTGAAGACCGATGTCATCAAGAAACGAAATCGTGGTAGCGGAAATACGGTGCCCATAGGGTCTGCGGCCACCAGAGCATCCAAAAAAGCCTCTCGTAAGAATTCAGTGCAGCAGACACCAGCAACTACACCGACTTCTGGCAATGCTGCCAGCGAGCAGAATTCGGCATCCCCGTCTTCTGTGCAGGGCTCTGTGCACTCGGGATCGGCTGTGACGACACCCACCAGCTATCCACCTGGCACCACTGGAGGAAAACCTGGGGTCGTACCAATCGCCGCGGCGCCACCCAAGCCCCCTGTCCAGCCTGGTCCCAACATGACCAGACCGGTTCAGGTGACACCGAAACGCCAGCGACGGCAGTCACGGGCGTCAACCAACACATTGCCCATTATACCCGGAAGCAGTGGTCCGACAAATGAGGCGGAAATGCACGACACTAGCCAGTCGACCCCCAGGGTCACTCAAGCCCCTGTTACCCGGGCCAAGGCGGCCAGTATGTCTTCGACCGCAGGAGCCACCACAATGGCATCGGTAATGCAGGGAGGTCTGCTCAACTCCGGTGTTGCGAACATGGGTAGCGGTCCGCATGGCAACAGCCAAGAATGGGAATGGCTGACTATGAGTTTGTGATGAAACTCGACCCCATTTTTACCGTGTCCTCATGTCCCCGGTGGCTTTGGCGCGGATCGAAATCTCGGGAATATTGGCCCGCGTCCAGTTTTCTTTTCGCTATTTTGTGTTGCACATAGACCTGTTTTGCCATGTCTTGCTCCGACAACATACCAAACTCCTACTCCAGCTGCACGATTTGACGACGATGCGATAAACGAATCTCCGACTTTTCTATTGTTATGTGTCTGGGCCCCCTTTCATTGTCGGAAAGCAAAGGAGAACAGGCAACCAAAGCTTGTACGACAGGATATCTCCCGGGTGGTCAGACCTTTTCTTCGCGGTGGATTGGTTGGTGTCTCGACGAGCAAGAATATAATGGAGGGGACTTTGCCGTCCAAGTGCAAATTGTGATTTTGTCGATTTACAACAGTGATATCACCGCGTCTGTCTCGATATGCTTGAAGAATATAGAGCCTCGGGCAGAAGTGCGCACTTGATTTTGTTTTTGGGAGAAGGAAACCAGCTTTTGAACGTCTGAATCGGCAGAGGGCTAATGAATAGATGGCTGGGCGAAGGGACCTCGACGACACGTTTCGAAACGAAATATACGGATCGAGATCTATGTGGAGGAGGAACTGGGATACAGTGTTTGGAAACCCTCACCGAAGTTGTTTGGTGACATGAATTTCGGTCTGTCATTGGAGGCTGTTGAACAGACCACTAAGTTGGACACAATTTTAGAGATACAAATGACCGAATACTAGAAATCTTGACCTATGACTCGGATTTGCCCCATGAAACATGTTGTACATAAGAATAAGTATGTTGTCTCTTTGCTGGTCATGAAGCAGCAATTCCCATGGGCAAAAGGACATTTCGGCTGTGCTCGGGTTTTACCGGAATTAGGAACGGTCGTAGTGGCTTGGCGTTCCGGCTATCTGATTAGATCACGCAACTAGAATATGGGGGAACTGTGCTTGCTTCGACCAACATCGAGACGCATTCGATCAAGTTCTATCTCTCGATGAATAGATTTTCTCCTTTTCAATAGCGCTGAAATACCCAGCACGAGTCTTGGAATTGTCCTATTGATACCACGGGTGCGGATATCTGTGATTTTGACATTGACCTTGAAGGATTCCTTTTGCGGACAGGGTAAACAAACCTCGATTCCTTCGCAGTCGATCAGCTTGGATCTTCAACTGCCCATTCGAACCAAATCGATCGGCTTTTCAAAAGCTAATCTGTGAGCAGCATTTACTGATAAATTCCTCACTGCTCGGCCGACTTTGTCATTGTTCCCTGCAGCTGCGCGACCTGTTATTCCGTCCCAATGGCCACTCCCGAAGCAACAACCGCTGCGCCCAACAGCACTGCGCTGCCGGCCGAAGTTTCTACTATTGTTCCAGACAACGCAGAGACTAAGCCTGCTACAGAAACTCCTGCCGCAGAAGCACCTGCCACCGAGACGAAGCCTGCCACCGAAACACCTGCCCCAACGGTATGACTGGTCGATCTGTCGACTCTTTGTGTTAGATGGAACGCTGATGATCATTCAGGAGTCCGCCCCTCCCGCCACAGAAACTCCGGTCGTGGCCGAGAAAGCACCAGACGTCGACGTCCCCGTGGAAAAGAAGACCACTCCAATCGAGGAATTGTGGGCCCTCGCACAGGCTCACGGTCATCCTGAGATTTGGGGAGTCACCCTCGCAGACCCGGAAACCCACGTCCCGACCCAGGTGATCTTGCAGAAGTATCTGAATGCCTATGATGGAGATCTTGCAAAATCCAAGGACACCCTCACCAAGACCCTGGACTGGAGAGCCAAGATGAAACCGGTCGAACTGCTCAAGAAGAAATTCAACCGAAACAAGTTCGCCGGACTGGGGTACACTACCGTCTACGGTGATGCCGATCCGACAGCCGATCCTGAGACTAGGGAAGTGTTCACTTGGAATATATACGGAAGCGTGAAGAATCTGGATGAGACATTCGGAAACCTGGCTGAGTAAGATTGAGTATCCCGCGAGATTCTTCTGTCTCGACTGACTCGGTGGCTTTCTTAGATTTATCGAATGGCGAGTTGCCCTGATGGAGGACGCACTCCAAGCCCTCGGTATCGACAAGGCCACCAAACCCATCACTGCAACCTACGACCCATACAAGATCCTTCAGGTGCACGATTACAAGTCGATCAGCTTCCTTCGCCAGTCTGCCGTTGTGAAGGCCGCCAGCACCGAGACGATCAAGATCTTTGCGCAAAACTACCCCGAGTTGCTCAAAGAAAAGTTCTTTGTGAATGTTCCTGCATTCATGGGTTTTATCTACACGTTCATGAAACTGTTCGTGGCTGCAAAGACCATCAAGAAGTTCCACCCCATGAGTAATGGCGCCAATCTCGCCCGCGAGATGGTGACGAGCAGCAAGGTGAAAGGATTGGGAGAGATGCTGCCGGAAGAATACGGTGGGAAAGGCGCAGCTCTCAATTCTGCCGGAAGACAGCCGTCACTCGAGGATGAGCCCGCAGCGCAGTGAGCCTTGGGGGATCTGGATGAACGTCAAGGGAGCGGAAGCCAACCAATTGAACACGCACCCTTAGGCACTCAAAAGCATGGCGTCGACATTGAAGTAATGAGGAAGAGGGGACGACACAGTGCGCACATGCATCAAGCACTCATTTTGTTATTGAATAGATTCAGCGAGCGGATACCCCCAGGTCTGGTTTGTTTTGGTCTATCAAGGGAGGTCGCAATGCTTGCAAGAGAGACAAACTTCAATGAGACTTGCTGGCTTTCACTGTTTACTGACATGGTTGCTTGAGATAGGAGCACTGAACGAACAAAGTATTGTTGATATCACAATGTCACAGCTGCGGTTCGTGGTTCGTGGTTCGTGGTTCGTGGTTCGTGGTTCGTGGTTCGTGGTTCGTGGTTCGTGGTTCGTGGATCATGTGCAATTGATGCAGTTGCTGCTGAAAATCGATGACGTCAAAGTTTATACCAGCCTTGGTGACTGCGCCAAACCCCCCACTCTATGAGACCATCTCTCGACTTCCTCTGGTGCTGGTGGCATGTGTTCTTATTGTCTCTGCTGCTTTGATCCGTGACGAAAAGCTTAAAAGGCAGTCCTTAACCTACATCCCGCCTTTTCTCAACCTTTACTCTCTTCCCACTGCAGCAACTCCACTGTCAAGTCCATTTCACTGATTCACTTTTGCTTTGAGCACATACCTCACTCAAGTACAAGCAACAGCCTCGATCTACCAGATCCTTTGACCAGATAGTCGTGCATCATGTCTGACACAGGCCGCAAGCCCTTGACAGATCGTTCGTGCAATTCCCCTCTTCCTCTTCTCCAAACTCGAGTGTTCCGGCATCCTAACCCATTGTCAATACCTACAGAGGCTCAAGAGAAGCTCACGCCCGACTCTCAGAAGTCCACCTTGGACAAGGCCAAAGAGTCTGCCACCGGGACTGCCGACGACATTGCAGGAATGGTCCAACCAGGTAACTTTGGCCAGCTCATCTCTTTATACCTGTTTCTCTCACTGACTCGGCCAAACAGGGGACAGCAAGTCGACCACCCAGAAGCTCGCCGATGAGACTTCGGCCAAGTCCGGCTCTGTCCAAGACACTCTGGCCGGTGCTACAAAGAACATCCAAGAGACTGCCTCCACGTTGGGCCAGCAGGCCAGCTCCACCGCCGGCGCTGTACAGGAGTCAGGCAAGCAATACCTGCAACAGGCACAGGATACTACATCGTCGGTCGGCCAGACAGCCAGCTCCAACGCTTCCGCCGCGCAGGAGTCGAGCAAGACGTATCTGCAACAGGCCCAGGAGATGACTGCCAATGTTCTGAACAGCGCTAGCAAAGCTGCATCAGGTATACATACCTCTCTCTCTCACCATGACCTTACTTGAACATGCCCGAGCTGACAATAGTCTCAGATCTTGCAAACAGCATTTCCGGCGAGAAGAAATAGATGGCAATGTGCTGGCAGAAGCAGCTCTTGACCATGCCGATCGTGAAGGATGAACAGAAGATCAATCCCAAGTAGGAGATCTCCCACTTTCCTGTGATACACAAGTATCCTATCCTAGTGTATTACAATATGATTCACCATCGACCTCGACCTCTGAGGACTGGAGGTGGTTGATAGTACCGGCAGACAGAACTAGCAGGAATAGGGTTGAAATTTATAGAAACTGAATTAATATTCTCCCTCTCAAAGCAGGCTTTCTGTGATTGTTTCTTGCATCCGTTACCCCACAGTTCTGTTCATAGATTGGGTTTGCTTGCTCACAACTAACTCTCTCCCTTCCCCCACACGTCGAATCCTTTTTATCTCTGTTATATCTGTCATTCTGGTGTATTATGCCTTCTCCCCCGGCAGCCTGACGGCCTCCCACTGGTCCTTCTTGACGGATCGCCACTCCTCGGGGTCGAACCAGCCGATGTAATTCCGGTCACCAAAGCCGCCGATCCAGTACGCCTGGGTCACCACCAAGCGGGTCCAGATGCTCTCGTGGGCGGCCCACTTGCGGCCGGGCAGCCACATGACGCTGTCCCTGTGTTTCTGGACGAAGCAGGTCTCGAGGGCCTTTGGGTCCGTGTCGTCGTCGTCAATCTCCTCGAGGTAACCCGTCAGGCTGAGGCGGGGCAGGTTCGCCAGCGCCCAGGGGCTCTTGCCCGTCAGGTGGATGTACTCGTCCCACCAGCTGAGGGAGAGCGAGACGTTGGAGCCCGCGGCGGCGTTGCGCGTCGCCGTCGAGATCTTAAGCGACAGGATCGTCGGGTTGCCGCTCGGTTCCTCGCACGACGCGATGTACTCGGGCAGCCCGATGGGAGTATCGGCCACGTTTTCGGGCGGGCCGTGGCCTGGTGCGGAGAGGTTCGACGGGAACACCGACGTGAGTACCCCGTGCGACGACAGTGCAAGGAGCCGTCGGCCCAGCACCGTCGAGTAGTACCGGGATGGGATGGACATGGTGGGGAAGTCGTGATGGTAGGTTCCCTTTTCACCATCCTCTTCTTCTGTTCCCTCTTGTTCCCCCGACTCTGACTCCTCGGACAGGGGATGATTAGGAATCGCGTACGGGTGATGCGTGAACAACGTCTCGATTCCCGGGTGGGAGGAGGCGGACGACTCTGGCCCCGTGGGAACGGGATGATGAATCTTGTAAAGGGTTTCCTCGTCGTACGACGGGGCCATCATCTTCTTCTGGCCATCTTCGCCTTGGCCTTGGCCTTGACCGTGGTACTTGATTCCTGGGTGATGAATCTCAAAGAGGGCGGCAGCCTTGTCGTGCTCCGAACCCATTCCCGTCACCGCAAAGGGAGCGGGAGCGCAGACTGCGGCTCGCGGACCCAGCGCGGCCAGGAGCTGCACTGCCGCCAGTGTCCAGGGAGAGGAGATCTTCATCGTGTCCTGTCCTTCACAAAGATACGCTGGTGTTGGAGTCGGTGTAGGAGTGCAGTTATACCCGAGATATTTGCCCGTTCACCTGCCGTGCGTGTCTGCGTTTCTGCCTTTTCCCGTTCGCTCGTTTTGTCTGTCTGTATTTTGGTCTCGTGCCTCTGTACGTGTCCGTGTAACCTTGACACCTGGACCTGGACGAATCCTTGTCTTGCTTTGCTTCCACACCCCGCTTTCTACTCTACTCTTTCCTGATTTCCTTGCCTTGGCTTTCTCAAAAGTCCCCGCCTCGTTCCCTGCGCGATAGAGTGATATAAGGGGAAGAATCGAGCTTAGAATGGCAACGGCAAGAGACGCTGCACTCTGGAAAGAAAAGAAGGTAATCAGAAGGGTTGTATATTGACTCGGTCGGTACGGAGCGGAGCCGGGGGGGGGGAGGGATGTATACGACTATGTATGTATGTACCGACTAGGTACAGTAGTATCTCAGGAGACAAAAAAGTACCGCAGCCAAGGAAGAGAAAGAAAAAAAGAGCCCCCGCTCTTCACTTGGACTCTGTGTTTTTAATTTGTGTCGACTTGCCGTGCTTGTCGAGGTGGATTCCGTAGAGAAGAGAGAGAGAAGAGTATCGTACGTATGTACATGTGATGCACGCAATCAAAGTCCCTCTCTCCCTCGGGTAATCTTATCTGATCTGATCCCGTGGACGTTTTTGACCGTCTTGGGAGCCTTGGGCGTTTGGGGCGCTGGGTCTCGGCAAAGTGGGGGGACATAGTCAATAGTCATCGGTGATTGGCCACCCGGCTCTCATGTCCCGATATCGGATTCTTGGCGTGCATGACTCACACGTGTCCGAGAGCTGAGGGTCTCTAGCACTGGGCCAGCTGGGCCTTGATAAGAACACAAGAATGAGACAAGACAAGACAAAGGAAAGGAGCACGAAGAGTTGTGCATTCTTTCACGAGTAATGTGGCGTGAGGGTCTATAAGTATCACCGACTTCAAGAAAGAAGTACAATTCAGAAGGCATGACTACAGCGCAAGGGGATGGATTTCATATGCCCTCGTCGTATGGTGTGGAGGAAAGGAGGGGAGCACGGCTTAGACAGTGTAAAAGAAGAAAAGGAGAAACTTGGGTCCGAAGCATACGCAGACTATCAGCTCACAAAGAGCTCAGGAGACACACAGACAAGCCACTAGAAAAATTGCAGAGTCTTATCAGATCAAAGACAAAATAAATTTCGATTGCGTGAGCTATACAATTGACAAAGGTAGTAGGTTAGGTAGGTGGGTAGGTAGCAATGACATGGTTCTTCGAGTATCGTCTGAACCGCTCTGAACCCCTGATGGGCCCTCGGGCGGAGATTTGTCACCAAGATGCGTAGTAGTGATGTGGTTGTTGTTTCCTGTTACCTTCAATCATGTAGAACAGGTGCTTTTTAGTCCCTTGGCTTCGGCTGATGTCGGCCTTGTATAGTTGGCATTGCGCACATGCCTGGAACACTCGGGTTCCGCCAGACCTTCACTGAGCCAAGATGCCAGAAGTTGCTGGTCTACAGTGGTGTCTTGTTGACGGTTTGCTGGCTGTAGCGGATGGAAATGGGACCCGCGCAAAGCCCGGGGTATTGTCCATTGCCATCTCCTCAGGAGACCAGTCACGTACGGCGCGGCGCTGTGTCTCAGATCGTGTATACGACCAAGACAGCAAAGGCAGCCATGATAACAGGATGCTCCCTTGGAGAGGACACAGCCACGAAACACCAGACCGTTGTACTCGACACAGTGTTTGTCACCAGATATGTGCACAGGTCTGTAACTCTCCTCGTCGTCCGCCTCAAGATGCCGTGATGCCTTCGGTAAGGAAACGAAATGACAGGTCGGGGGTGGAAGAAGAGTGTTGCATAGAGCAATGACGTTTCGTACCTGTAGCATTGGAGACGGCCCGCCGCGACTCCGTCAGAAGATTGGACGGATGTTGCAATGATGTGGGTGTGACACAGGAGTACAGTGGTAGAGGGTCTTCGACCACATCCATATGTGTCTGACTCTGCGACAGTATACTCCTGACTTGGGCATGGAGGTCTGAATCGATCTTGGAGAGAGTCCTTTTGTGCCCTCGGGGGTGTCCATGGCTCTGAAGCACCGCACTGTCAGCTTTCCCAGCGAGCCGCCGCGGCGTCGGGGTGACACTCTGGCTTGGTGATTCTGTTAGTGCTGACAACGACATTAATCCATGAATGGCAGCCACTTCGGAACTGGTAGGAATGTTTGGTTGTTGAGGCTGAGGTTCCTCCGTACAGATTTGCTGATAGGAGGTGGTCTCCGTCAAAAGACAATCTATCGAGGCGGGTTTGCATTGTCTTTCTGACGACGAACGGACTTGAGATAGTGGAGAGCTCACGCCAGTCCACACCTTTCTCCGCAGCGGTGGGACGCTAGGTGCCCAGGACGACCACGAAGAGTTGGACGAAATCGATGATGATCTAGATCGGGACGTCACAGTCGTAGACTCTGAAGAGATCGACGCTGGCGACGCCATGACTGGGGTCGCTGACCTACTGGGAAGTTCCTGGATTGTCTCGGCGGGACGCAAGAGGCACTTCACAGATGGTAAGACAAAGCTCTGAGGTCGAGGAGGCGGGCAGCGTTCCAGGTTCGCATTCATGAGGCACTGCTTCCGCATGCTTCGCAGCGCATCGACCGATGCGGAGCAGCGAAGCGAAGGCCGGTTACAATTTCGCTCCCATGCAAACTGGTCTGGAATGCGAGGAGTAGTCTGCGGAGTTGGAAGGTTTTCAAGGTGTGGACGACTGGGCAATGCGACACTTTTGACTGGACTCATCTGGATGGGAGTCTGAGAAGACGGGCTAGGCTGGACCTTGGCTGATTCGGGGGCGCGAGTTTTCAAGGCTTCGCTGAAATTCAGATCAAAGCCATGAGTGACAGCATCCGCCCCTGAACTTGCACTATCAGGTCGTCTGTTGACTTTCTTGCTCAGATGCGCGAGCGATGCAACGACATCCATCTTGTCACTCGGTAGATTAGTCCTCAAGAACTCATCCACATGTGACGTGTCTTTGACGATGCTTGGCTCGATTTTTTGGAGCAGGGCTGACCACCACGCCTCCGAGAAGGCAAGGTCGTCGTTGTTCTCATCCAAGCCCACTTGCGAGATCATAGCGGCCAAGGAGGCGTTCGCATGACCACCAGGGGGGCCGAAGTTTGTGTTGAAAGTGCCTGTCCGGCACGCGGGTCCTTCGCTTGACAATTTGCTCAAAATCAAAACAACCTTGCTCCAATTGTCAAAGGCCTCTTTCGGGACATGCAGATCGTAGTTGATCTGTGCGAGATATTCTCTTTCGTTCTCGTTGATCTCACTGCTGCGTAGGCCAGATATCTTGCTCCAGGCGCGTGCCGAGTAATTGCGATCTTGCAAATACTTGGAAGCCAACATGAGTGCCGACAAAAACATGCGGCGCCCACACTGCATCGCACGACATTGAGATCTCTCAAACGGCTCGCCTCTACAACCAGTCTTGGACGGCCCTTGGGGCATCCTGGACTTTAGGAGTATCAGGTAGTACAACGCGACTTGCAAAGTCGAGTAACTTGTCTTGGACCGTCTAAGAGTTTCTTTGATAAAGGTGTCGAGACGTAGAACACCAGCCCCATTGAAGCAATCCGACATCATAGGAGGTCGGTCAGACAGGGGCCATATGGCGGTGATTAGTCTCTTTGCGAAGATGATCAGAAGAGACACGAATTGCTCCGTGACGTCGGTGTCCCTCTTCAACTTCGGGGGGCATTGTCTCCTGAAAGAGCAGGCATTTCTCCGAGCACTCCAGTGTTGCGCGTCCGGATCAGTGCTGGCTTCATTACCTCGGGATCGTAGGCATGTTTGGCCAGGTTGTTGGAGATGGCTTGAGACTCGAGCCTTGAGGCTGCGGTAGGCATACCCAAGGGAACAGCTACTACCAGGGGCAGCATGATTATTGGCTTGTAGTCCTCTGAGCAGCTGCTCCGGAGGTTCAAGTGCACTGTTTGAGAGCACCTTCTTTAGAGGTGGGAGAGGCTCCTTGCCGTCCTCGTCCTGGAAGATGTCGCCAGGATCTGTTGTTGATGTCCACGAGGTCTGAGACGATGACTCGGAAGAGTACGACTCGTGGGCCGAATCGCTCACACTGACATCATCCTCAATAGAAGCGATGCTAGTTTGGTCGAGGTCCGGTTTGAGGCTGTAGCTATTGAAGGCCCACCGTTCGTGGGAATGTCGAAAATTGTCGAATCGCCCTGGCTCTTCCCTCGATACCGGGGAGAGCCATCTTTCGACGGAGTCTTGTACATTTTGAGGGGGATGGGAATTGGAGAAGGCTGCAACCTCTTTAAAGCCCATCTTCTGGAGATGAGCAGGGCCCGACTTATCCTCCGATGTCGAAGAACAGGTGTCGCCACGCCGAGGTGGTAGCAATACTTCAATAACGAAAATCCAAAGTGATGGAAGAAGAACCAATTAGAAGAACCTGTTGCGCGTGAGCGTGAGCATGCCGCGCTTGTTTTGAGATGCGCTGATTCTTACCAAAGAACGGGCGGCGAACCCACCACGAGTCAGAGCACTGAATACTGTTTTGTTTGGCAAGATGGCCTGATCACGACGAGCACGAGATCGATGCGCCCTCGAGAGTTAAGCCTAGGCCAACTCAACGAAGGAAGTCTCGAGGTACAAATGCTCGTCCGTCTCAAAACGATCTTGGTGCGGCTTTACCAAAACAATTCGTGACTCTGGCGGTGGGCTTCGGCGTGCGGATGGGTCTTCTTGGATATATGACAGCGACCAAGAAATCATGGCTAATGACCAATGTTTTCTTCTTATGACTCTGGTTGAGTGGAGAGTTGCGGGAGACGTATGTTAGGGCGTGTGACTGAAAGACTCTTTCAATTCCAACACCCAAGCGGCCAGGTTAGGCTCAGATTGCAGTGAGAGGAAGGTGACTGGAGGTAGATCTGGTGGATCTGGAGATGATGCGTTGGCGATTAAGGGATATAGGTGAATTAGGAGGGAGTGAATGCGAGACTCGGGTTCGCACTGGGAGTCGACAGTGGTGAGGGCAGGAGATGCTCCGGACGAGATTCAGCCTGCGTCTCTGGGTATCTGTGTCCTCGGCGGTCGTGGCAAATATGAAATGGTCCTAAATATACAGTGTCTTGAGGCAGACATTGTCCCGTGAGTCAGTTGTGTGATTTGGACAGAAATTCAGGTTTCGATTGTGAGTCTTTCTGCTTCGTGGCGAAAGGCGAGACGCTTTTCGCGGCCAGGAGTGTTGGACGGGCTTACAGAGGAAATCGAGTGCGGCGGGTTGGCGAAAACCTGCGTCTTTATAACCAGGAGGTGTGCTTGGGGGATTCAGATGTGAATAAAGTATAACGAGCAGCCAGTGCTGCGATCCATGGTCTGCTTCATCTTGTCTCTGGTAGAGTAAGTCCTCATGCCGGGCCGCTGGCGGTGGTTTGGAGGATATAAGGGCCTGGGGGTGCCACCCTCGCCACTTTGGCTCTGCCATGCAGTGGCTGCACTGCTCGCCCGCCGCTGAACCGCGCCCTCAGATCATCAGCCGATGACTCAAATTGAACCTGAGACCCTAGCGACACCCACCCCCCAAACCACCACGACCACCCACCCACTGTCTGGACCAGGCACGAAAGAACTCTTGATGTTCTGCTCGTCCTTGATTCCAGCCTATGGAATTACTGCCTGTTCCTACGGGGCAGAGAATCTACAAACAAATTGCCCGTTGCCCGTTGCCTGTCTTGGGCAGTTTCGAGATTTGCTAATGTTTTGCCGCCCATAATCAGGGTTCCCAGGACCACCCGCAGACACTCATTGAGAGGGCGATAGGCGGCGCTCAGTCGGGCTACCTAGGCCTCACTGCACAAGACGTCGATGATGTGCTTCTCCAGCCCAAGCACGGAGACCGGAGTATTTGGTCAGTATTCGGTACAAGTACAAACCCTACGCACGGCTCGTGCATCCCCCTTTGTGCAATCAAGAGCCCAGGCGACAGACCAATAGCCAATGAGCCTCGCTGGGATTTTTGCCAGAGCGAAGATTATATCAGATTCTGTTAGTCATGTCCGCTAATAGATTGCTTTTGGGTGGCTTTACATCAATCAGGTCCGTCTGCGGGTGCTCCATTCCATCATACACGGTTCCTTCCACGGCACTCCGGGTCAAACTCCTGCTCCAAGTCCCACGAGTACCTCGTACACCCTGAGTTTTCGCTACATCTGGAAGAACAATGTCCGCCAGCCACCAGGTCACCAAGGTGTTGGCCGCATGTGTAACCATAGTAAACCTGTGCACCTCCCAATACGTCAAAGAAGGTGCAAGAAAAGCACGACCAAGCTAAGGACAGCTAATCTCTGTCTTACAATGCTACAACTCTCCAATCGGGCCAGCCAACACCCCGCGTGGTAGTGAATCATCGCCAGCCTGATTCGCCCCAAAGCGAAGGGCCAGTTGGCGCTGTGACCACTCACCAGGTGGTGGGTGGGTGGCCGGCACTCTGACCGAAGGATAACGGAGGGTGCAAACTGCGAAGGTGGAAGGAAACTGTAGAAAAGAGCGTGACTCAAAACTAGATTCAGTTGGGCGGCAAACCGCCACTTTGCCTCCTTCAGGCCCCTTTCCGCTACTCTCCCTCTTCCATCCAGGATCCGGGCTTGGAGGGGCGACGGATTCCACTGTTTTCCCGAGGAACAACAGGAGCCTTCAGGTTGCAGAGTCACGATGAAACCCACGTCTTTCAAAAATGAATTCAGCCTCACCTTTAGCTTCTATCATCAACTTATCTATTACCTGATGGACGAGGTATATACGGCCAGGTTGGGGGCTGGGTTTCGATTCTGGTTGAGGCTGCCTTGTCTTTGCGAGTGGCTGAGGGACGGGCGGGAATACAAGCAGCGCGACCCATTTTTTCAAATATCATCCTTGCCAGTTTGGGGCTGCCTAAACTGCCTCTTGGCGAGTGCCCAGATCGCAGATCAGAGCGTTCCTCAATTTTCCGCGATGGCACAACATGGCGCACCCACAGTTGGCCACCCAAACAGGCAGAAGCACTCCTGCCGACCCGATGAATACTACTCAACAGAAGAGACTGGCGAACAGAGTCATGACATTATTGGGACGAACACTCAATTCGCAGATGGGCTCGCCGTCGCTTTGGCCAGAAGGTATGTTTTGTACCGACCAGATTACAACTATTTGGCCATCAAGCTTCTCCAGAGTTGTGCAATCTGCATAAAATTCGTCCGACTTGTGAGTAACGACGCGAAAACCCCAATGAATATGTCTGCATTTGTCATCATATAGACTTCATATCACAGCAGCCGGTCGTCGATAACGGGATGCGACATCGAACACTGACAATGCCCAATCTCACAACTTGCCCGCCCCGCGGCCTGGCATCATGGGCCACCACTCTAACAACGGGATAGTGTTAGAATGCCTTTTCCCCTCCGTTCGATGCCGCCAGTTCAGACCCAGCATCCACTGCCGAGGGGAGGGGAAAGATATGGTTGAGACGTTGCTTTCGATACCTAACCCTTGCTGGCTGTGGACTGCTGCCTGGACGAGAGCACCATGTCATCGGATGCGAGAATGAGTGCCTGAGATCCGCTTCGTAGCATCGCTCGACTCATCCGAATACGGATCTCCAACACATCTGTGAGAGAGTCACGCCCGACCACAGATTTTCTAGAAGCTGACGCGGAGAGCCGGTGGGTAACACTCCACCAGCGGCATCGAGGTAAGACCGGTCCTCAGCGGAAATGGAAATATCAAAGCGTCAGGGCAGTGTTTGTGTTGATCATGATCACATTTCCATTGCCCTCAAGCAAGCACGGACCTTAGTTGGCCACGAAATCTGGTCAAAGGTTTAGTAAGCCAACGCGATAGAGCAATGAAACAGCTTGACCTCGCCATCTGGGAACGCGGGCGCGGGGAGGAGTGGTTCAGGACTTTCTCACTTGCGTATCATCCATGTTGCGAAAATCAAAAGGCACATGATCTGCAAGGTTGGGAGAAAAACGGATTGAGTGCTGCCTAACCCATCCTGGTCACGTGTCGTCGAGCAGAGTGGCAGACCAACCGCAGTGGGATTTTGAGTCATACTCGTTGGTCGTACCTTCCCGCGCAGGCGTCGAGGGCCAAGGGATTCTCATGCCTGGTCTTGCCTGTTGTCGAGTTACGGGATCATGAAGCGATACGCTGTCAGAGGTTCGTCTGCCTGTTCATGTTGCCCCCTTTGCGAAGATTGCAGGACTGCGCAACTCGGTGCGAGCCGAATGCTGCAGCGAGCAAGACTTGTGAACGCGGAGGCAGCGTATGCGAGTAGTTGTAGCAAGAGCTTGAGTCCCCAGAACGGAGGTTGGTAGTTCTCAAGGAAAGTGTATGTGTACTCTGGGAGTACTCTGTATGTGCAGTACTTGTCTCTCTGAGTCTGATCCATCTGCGATAGATTTGGTGCTGGTACGCAGGTCAGCACGGAGGTAGCTGTGTTTGCTCTATCTACACATCTACTTAGTGTACCTATGTATGTAGATAGCCCGATGGTGCCCATACATGCATGTGTGTACCTATGGTCCCTCCCCCTCCTTCTCCTCCTTCCGCGGTTCGATACCTACGCAGTGCAGCTATCAAGTTCACGTCGTTGCAGACAAGTAGATAATCCATCCGTCCAGCCAAGACCTCGAACGCACCGTTGAAAAGACTCGATCGACCTGGGCTGGTCCCCATGTTCTCGTGCATGACTTGGCTGCCCAGTGCGAGTTCTATATCAGTCATTCATGAACCAACTGAACCCTTCCTTCCTTGTTTTTCCTTTCCTCGCGCGTCCTCAAGGACCAAGTACCACGAACCATGGAGAGAAATAAACAAAGAAATAAAGAGGAGGGTGTGGAAGGAATGAAAAACCAGACAAGATCTCCCTTGCGTGAGAGAAGGAGAAGGGGAAGGGAGGGAGAGAGAGAGAGAAGCACCCATCCTACTCGGTAGATATCCAAGGGTAAGGAGAAACGGAGAAAGAAGAAAAGTGACAATGCTAAGGTAGTGGGAATAGGTCCATGGACGCTTGTATAGCCAAGTGCCACCAATCCGACCCTTGAAAGATCTGTCCTGTGTGGTTTTCCACGCCTGCTTTCAAATTGAATGAAATCCCACATCCCCTCCACTCCTCAAAAGGGGTTTCGTGTGCCCCCATTTCAGTCTTTGAACGCTTAGCGTCCTCCTCGCCATAGGACGAGAACGTGTCTCGGAGAAAAGAAAAGAAATCCTGAAAAAGTCCAAGGATAACCATCTCAAAGGACGCGCCGCATGCCAGTCTGTGCTTCTCTCTCTCCCTCTCCCTGTTACATGGGCGTGTATGTGTCTGCGAAGGACACCGGCTTCATCTCCCATCTGAGCAATCCCTCCCACTGTTCTCGGTCGCTGGTGGCTCCAACCCAGCTCTTGGTGATTGTGTTTTTGTCTATCCCGCCTGATCGCTTTATCGCGGACATGAACTCGCTTTCCTTGGTGGACTCTGATAGCAGTCTAAAACAACTTTTCGGCTTCAGCCTTGCGGTGGTTAGCGTGTCGCCATCTGCTCCCCTTCACAAACCCGACCACAGCTCCAAGCTCGGACCCATTCTTGTAAGAAACGCCCTCATAATAAACATCCCAACCTTCCTCGGCCTTCCTCGGGACATGAATGCGCCTCTCACGACCTCTCGTAACTCGTCTTGGGACCCTGTTCGTAATAATGTGCCATCTCCAGCCCGGCCCTCTTAAACCCGCATTTAACATAGAACCCTTCGTTCGCCTCACTACAATCCAAGATACTCTTGTAACAGCCCACTCTTTCAGCCACCGCGTCCAGTGCCTGAATGATCCTCAATCCCAGCTTCTTACCCTGTTGGTTCTTTGCCACCGCAATGTCCTCGATATGGCCCACGAGGCCCATGTTGTGGATGAACTTGCGCTCCACAATCACAGCACCGGTGCCCACGACGGTCGACGTCTCGTCACAGATGACTAGAATGTAGTAGGTGTCGTTGCGCGAGGAGATGAAGTCATACCGGGCATTGAATTCGGCTAGAGTGGGTTCGCCCACTGTGGTGAGAACACGGAGCGTAGGGAGGAAACCTATAGACCCCAAAGACAAGATGATTAGAATCAGTGCTGCCAGAGCGAATGGCAAGAAAGCTAGGGGGAGGAACGGGACAATGGAATATCTGAGTGTGACTAGAAAGAGACATACCTCCATAGTAATCGCTTCGTCGCAGAGGGCGAATCGAGTAGCCCTCAGGCAGTTGCGACATGACTTGTTCAGAAATAAGGGACTGGGAAAACAGTGGCGGATCGTCTTCGTCCCTCACATTGGCCGGTTTGCCATTTTGGATCAGTCCATCAACTGCGGTCGGTGCCGGCACTGAGGTAGTCACGGGGACCGGCGTGGGTGTAGTACCGTTTGTATGTGTGGCAATTCCCGCAATCCTGTTCACAATCCCGTTGACAGTCGCGGTCGGCGTGGGCACAGGCTCTGTCTCTGTAGACGCATTGGTAGTCATTGGAGCTTGAACGAGTGACACTTGTGTGGCTGCTTCTTTGGAGATGGGAGTAGAGCCCTCGGTCACTGAGTTTGACGTCGACAGAAGTGTCGCTTCGGTAGGTGTCTGTAGGTCGGCCATTACTTCTTTATTGGCCGGGTATTGTGTGATTTCTTTTTCTCCTTTCCCCAGATGTAAGCGATCTAGTCCGCAGGTGCTGATAGGACGGTATCGGTTGCAGGAGACACAATGCAGAACAAAGAGGACAAGACGGTGAAGTTCTAACTCGACTATGGGGATTTCGACAGAGTGTAGGTCAAATGGGTCTGTTCAGATAGTGTGGTGCTGCTTGTCTTGGTGTTTGTTTATCTGCGTCGCCGGAGTGAGGGCGCAGGGGGCGGGGAGTAGATTTTTTTGCTTGATAAGGGAGCGTGTCAATGGGTAATTGAGAAGAGATGGTCGTTGTTAGTAGAGGAAATTCAAAGCTCTTCGAGTTCAGGAGTTAGTTGAAGCAAACCTGGCTTCACCAATATAATATTTTCAGCCCCTTACTGGTGTCAGCCGCAGCCGTCAGATCAGCTCTGCGGCAATACCTCGACGTTCCAGCCGCTGAAACATTCTTGCATTGAGATTTGGGGTTCAGCCTCGGCCGTGTTGCCCAGAAAGCCAAATCTCCCGGGGTTTTTGGCACATGGAGCTATAAATATACCCAGCCAACAGCCTTATCAATCACCACCCCTCCCATTTGCCCCTTTACCCTCCCCAGAATTTATTTGCGTCTTTCTCTATCCATTCACCCTGTTTTGTTCTATTGATGTAAGAAATCGATTCGGTCCGGTGCGTCTTCTGTCAAAGAGCAGATTTGACGGAAATCCCCGAGTTGTGCTCCCCTGTTGGATAGAGTGTTTTGGAAGCTCTCCAACGAGACAGCGCCTTCTACGTGGCTGAATGGGACTATGTCGGTCAACCTGGTCAAGTCAATCAGGCCGTCATTGATGAAGAGCCGTACAGCATGGTTTCGCCCTGTTGCGGTCATCTCTCCATCTGTCTCACAGGTTATGCGTTCGAATATCAACCGTCCCCCCATTGGAACCACGTCACTGGTCTTCCACTTCCGCTCGGGCACAAGCCTGTCAGAAGGTAGATGACCCAAGTCCAAAGATTCATCAAAGATGCCCAATGCGGCCAACGCAGGAACAATGTCGCCGTCATGGACGAAGCTGAAGTAGACGTCTTTGGACGAGTGATTGGACATGAGTTGCTGAGTCGCGTTGAGCCACAGCCAACCCATTATTGCACCAAACTTGTTGCCTGGGCCAGCACGATAGTAGTGTAACAAGTCTCGTGCGTATTCGAATTGGAGCCACTCATGTTGTTCGAACACATCGCACCATGGGCTCTTTCCCCTCGCCAGGATCTCGAAACCGCACATTTCCATCATGCCTGTGGCAATCTGTCAGTCTGCGTTCCGTCTTCATACGTGCGACTGACGAAAAGGTCCCTCGAGCGCGACAGAGGTCAGCGAAGTAAGCCGAACATACCATAGATGTCGAGGGCGCTGAATGCCATTCCCTCTGCATCGTTGGCGAGTCTCTCGGCGATGGGTCGGGAGAATGTGCTCTGCCACTCGGCTAGTTTCATGTATCCATGGCCGCGACCGTGCCTTTTGTCCTCGCGGTAGCTGAGACAGGAGTCTCCTGGTGTAAGCGTGTTCGCGCCTCGAGCTTCATCCTCCGGAATTATCACCAGCTCCGCGGAACCATCGGACTTCCAGTCCGGGCCGAAGAATCCAGTAGCGAAATGCTCCGCGGTCTCGACGTCCCGGGGAGAGCTGCAAGACCAGATGTTTGTCCTGCGGCCGTCGGGTATAAGGTGATTGTACCGTTGCCGTAAGATCCTTCCCGTGTTAGAGGCCTGTCGTGTTCCAGCATATGGTCCAGTTGCAGTTATATTGCCGAACACAGGAATCGAGAGATCTGTAAAGTAGGTCCACTCTCTGAGAAAGGATAGCGATCCTGTGAGATTTACCGACGGATCCTGAAGTCGGCTGAGGATATCAATGTGGCCTGCTCAAGGGTGTTAGTGCCTCAGCTTGTTTCGATCGCCCAGGTAACTCACGAGAGCCAGCAGCGTTTGTGGGGTATCGTTCAGCATGCCGTGATAACTACAGACGTCAGCACGAAGGGGGTCCTGGCGTATCGACCATGCTCTCGGTGTATGTCTCACCATGTGAACTTGATCAATGGAGCATTTCTTGGGTAATGGCGAGTCGTAATAGTTTACGCTGTGTATTTTGCGAATCCACGGACTATTCCCACCCAGATGGTGGAATACATTCCACAGAGCAGGAAAAGCCGTGCTGCACAGACCCGCCCGAAGCAGAAAAGGAGAAGCCGAACAAGTACCATTCTGGATGTGTCGCAATAGAGGGAAGCCGAGGAGGGCTGCTAAGAAGATGAGGATCAATAAGAACACCTTCTGATGGTAGTGCCTCCGAGACCGCTGCTCCCGCTGGAGCTTGAAAGTTGTAGAGGCCATAGGGAGCAGATTTGATCTTCCAGGGGGACCTTTTATCCAAATCATCAGGCGAGAGATTTCCTGCGTCTCAAATTTGTCTTTAGGGGATTCGATTCGTGGTCGATGCGGTCAGTCTATCGTGTATCCCTATCCTATGGCCGTGGGGACATTGCGGGCTTCACTTTCAACTTTGAACAGTGCTGGACGCCTTCCAGCATTGCATGATTAATTCCAAGCCACAAATACTCTGGTCAATGCCCCCCAAAAATGGACCCCCCAACGGCGCTCGTGGCAGGAAGCCTGAAGAGGTACAGAGAAGATGGGGATCTAGGGATTCAATGGCGGTGAAACAAATGAATATTCCAAGTCGAAGATTCTCGTAAGAGGACCAAGCACAGACGGATATCTGCCCAGATTTCGGCTTCTCGTGTTTCCACCCTTTCGACAGCGTCCATTTCCACCGTTGCCGTGGCCCACGTGGCTTGATTGTTCTTCATTCAGACGCAGACGTGCACGCACCCTCTGTCTCCTCCTCTTCTCGCCTGCTCAGATGATCAGACTCAACATCGGCGAGAGAACTTGTATTCTCGGGAGATGACCGGTTACTCGTGGTCACGGTCTTTTCGTCTGCTGGTACAGGGACTCCGGGTTATCACACGCCGAAAGCGAGGATCTTGACCGCCAATAGAAACAGCCTGAAAACGGCTTCGAATCCCCCGCATGTGAAGAAGAGGCATGATGATGAGGGGGAGAAAAACACGGGCAAGGATGGCGACGGCGCAGTTACCGATTGACTGTGCCGCTCTCGGAGGTGGTTTGTTCAGCGTGATGAAAAGATGGATTATTTCACGAAGACATTTTCCTTCGGAGCGCAGTTTGTCCCTTCTTATCTACAGCTGGAAATTGACATTCTCCTAGATATATTTCAATCAACATGGGCTCTACAAATCCAACGACCCTCGTCCCACCTCCAGGCGTGTATTGTCCTGCGGTCACTTTCTTCGATCCTGACACCGATACCCTGCTCCCAAATGAACAAGCACAATACTATTCCTACCTTGCAAATTCGGGATTGACAGGACTGGTTATCTTGGGGACCAATGCAGAGACCTTTCTACTCACCCGGGACGAACGATCTGCACTCCTGCGGTTAGCACGCAAGTCAGTTCCTGAAAACTACCCTATCATTGCCGGGGTCGGAGGCCACTCAACAGCACAAGTACTTGAGCACATCGCTGATGCCCATGCTGCTGGAGCGAACTATGTTCTCGTGCTCCCTTGTGCATACTTTGGCAAGCAGACCACACCCACCGTCGTCCACAACTTCTATGCCGCCGTCGCGAAAGTCTCTCCTCTTCCCATCCTCATCTATAACTTCCCTGCCGTGTGCAATGGCCTCGACTTGGACTCGGATGCCATTGCTGCATTGGCGCAAGAGTTCCCGAACATTGTTGGAGTGAAGTTGACCTGTGGTTCGGTGGGAAAGATCACACGACTCTCGGCCACCTTCCAACCCGACCGGTTTGCGGTTTTTGGCGGGCAGTCAGACTTCTTAGTTGGTGGACTGGCAGCTGGATCAGCCGGCTGTATTGCCGCTTTTGCCAACATCTTTCCGAAGACGGTTGTCAAAGTTTTTGATCTGTGGAAGATGGGTAAACATGATCAGGCATTGGCACTGCAGAGACTCTCTGCTCATGCCGAGAACCCTACAAAAGCTGGTATTGCCACGACCAAATATGCCGTTAGCCAGTTCAGCGCAAAGAAGGCAGGGATCCAAGGCGACCTTGAGGCCATGCTGCGCCCTCGACGACCGTACGAAGAGCCTAGTGGAGCGGTCAAAAAGAAGATCGTTGAGGCGATGTTACCAGTGGATGAGATTGAAAAGACGCTGTGAAAGTGATGATGAGCGGTTTGCTAGAAATAGAAGGACAATGGAAAGCCCTTTTCTTCTTTGACGACTCTAAGCTTCCACAGCCTTATTTCCACACAATTGTTCGAAACGCCGTGTTACCCGGTATAGCTCCACGCTGTGCAAGCCACCTCGTCAGGAGCAGATCTTTTGAATCGCCGTTCTCTCGGCTAGTTGTACCGCCAAAACAGGCGATATCGATAATATGGCCTTTTACTCGTAGTAGAAGGACAGATCGGCCGAACCAGAATCGTCACCTTCTTCGTAGATGCTGATCAGCGCTGCAAACTTGCTTAGTGCCGACATGACGAGCGCCACTGTGGCTCACCAGGAGCCTCCAAGCATGGACAACCACAAGGCACAGAAAAGAAAATACGAGCAGCTCCACTCCACTTTGATGAGTTACACGAGATCCATGCACAAATGTACAGAATGAGGTTGGAATTTGTCACCTCACAACCCGAAGCGGGGTTTGATGCTGTACTCATCCATCAGGTACATGCATGGAACATAATCCAAGCTGAATGAGGTAGGTGAAGTATCAGTCCATCTGATGATATAGAAATGACAAAGTACGGCATTCTACCGAGAATATGCGCAGTCACCGCAGTTGGATCAAAGTCCCTACGTCACCTGGTTCCCCCACACCCACCAGTACCTGGTTACACCTGCCGGATAATTTGCGCCGATGCCGCGCGTCATTGACTTCCCAAAA